GAACTTGGTGAGTCGGTCGACCACCGTGAGAATCCCATCCACTCCGGTCTTGTGCTTGGGGAACGGGCCGGTAATGTCCATGGCAATCGCTTCCCTTCGCCTCAACGGGACCGGCAATGGTCGTAGCTCGCCGTACGGACGATGGTTGCGGGRTTTGCAGYGTCGGCAAACCTCGCAAGACTCGCAATAGCGCGTGACGTCGCTGAGAAGGCCAGGCCACCAAAATCGCTGGCGAAGTCGGCCAATCGTGCGATTGACCCCAAAGTGTCCAGTGGCGGGAGCATCGTGGAACTCGCCAAGAAGCCGTGTACGCAAGTGAGGATCACTTGGTACGCAAAGAAGGTCCTTCCCCCGCGTGTGGACAAGCAAGTACCCCTCCTGGATCCGGTAGTGAGAAGGAGACGGATTAGGCGAGGAGCAATTCGCATACTTGTCGCGAAACTCGGGGTCGGCTTGGTAGCCGCGGATGAAGCTGTTCCGCAGGTCGTCGTCAATCTCGAAAGTTTAGTAGACCGCGGTACAATGATCCGGACGCCGTGAAAGAGCATCCGCAAAACAGTTCGACTTCCCGGGAATGTGATCGGGAAAGCAGTCGAACTGGTCGATGAAAGCCATCCATCGAGCGATGGTGCTGTTGACGGTGTCCTGGGTCTTGTAGAAGACCAACGGATTGTTGTCCGTTACCCAGCGAAATTGGCTTCGACCAAGGAGGAAGTGCCGCCACCGCTTGAGCGCGTGGACGAAGGCGAGGAGCTCCTTCTTGCGTGCATCGTCGATGGAATGCACGAGGGGCACTTGCTGAAGTACTCGACCGGGTGCCAGTCCACACCATCATGTTGCTCGAGGACTGCACCAATGCCATATCCTGACGCATCCGTAGTGACACGCGTAGGTGCGAGCGGGTCGTAGATTCGCAAGACCTCCGCAGACAATAGCGCGGCTTTGAGAGYGAGGAATGATCCCCGCGCCTCCTCTCCAAAKTCAAACGGHCGATCCTCGCACTGAAGCTTGTTCAAGTGGGCCGCGATCTTGGAGTAGCCTTCGATGAAGCGCTGATAGTAGCCGGTAAGACCAAGGAATGAGCGAACTTCCGTGACGTTCCGAGGCTCCGGCCACTCCTGGACGGCCTGAATCTTGTCCGATAGCGGACTGATGCCCTCCA